CCCATTTCAACATGTCCAAAGGGACTTTGTTGAACTCACACCATGCCAAGGTAAGTAATACTGTCTGGGTCTGGCGGATCTCTGGTCCAAATGGACTGAATATTTGCATGCAAACACGCCACGAGCAACGCGGTGGTGAAAGCTCTGCTCACAGAAATTGTGCCACGATGGGGTGTCCCGAGGGAAAATCTCTAGTGACAATGGCAGTCACTTTGTAGCAAAAGTCATTGAGGAAGTGGGTGAATTTCTGGGCATTGATATACGTAAACACTGCAGTTACGCCCCCTGGTCCGGAGGCGCGTGCGAGCGAGAGAATGGCACTCATGTACATGCGCATGAGAGTCCCATTCGAAATCCTCTGTGCCAGACCACCCAACTTGGGCGCGGGACCCCCGAACAGAGATCTGCCAAGCACCTCTTTGTGTGATGACGACATGCTGTCCTATTGTAAGGAAATTAATGCACTTTTGTCCTCTATTTCTGCCCAGGTCAGGAGCGCCCTGCCACAGGCTGCGCAGGCGGCTCTGCACAGGATCAAGCCAGGCGACTGGGTCCTGGTGAAGGAAACGAGACGAAAGCATTGGCGGTCCAAGCGCTGGCTCGGCCCATTCCTCGCCCTCCTGGTGACGGACACTGCCGTTAAGGTCGCGGAGAGGACAGCTTGGATCCACGCCAACCACTGTCGTGCGGTGCTGCCACTGAGGGCCATAGACGAGGACACCGAGGGCGCGGACGGACCAGGCCCATCCGCGGCTCCCTACGCTGAAGAGGTCGGCCGGCGTGCGACCACCATCGGTGAAGCAGGCCAACAACAACACCCAGAGATTCCCAGCGTTCCCGAGGCGACCCCCCTTTGCCCAATTCCCCAGCCCCCGGACCCCAAGGCCTGGGAGCCATGAAGGCCCTGAGCGCTCTGCTCAGCTGCAGCAAGTATGCAGAGCTGCTGCTCATTCCAAAGATTTCTCCAGAGCCTGCTCCCTCTGGCCATAATGCAGATTTGAGCTCTGCTGGAGTGCCCCCTGGTGTCTCGTCTCCCGTGTGTCCGGAGGAGGTGGAGATGAGGGCTGCTCTACAGTTCCTGATGAGGCACATGGTGAAGCGTGCTGTCGTGAGGTCTCCCATCAAACGAGCTTTGGGCCTGGCCGATCTGGAGCGTGCTCAAGCCATGGTCGCCACACCCCAAACCCCGAGCACTCTGCCCAACCGAGTGCTGAGGCCAAGGCTTCAACGCAATTAGAGTCTTGCCGCTCCAAGACCAAACATCGCCATGACCACTAACGCTCCACACACGCTCATAGGGAGCGGTGCCACTGACTGCGAGACGGCACTGTTCGTGAGTATTCCCGCGGAAAAGACTACCGAACGTAGCCCGGCTAAGACCGGCATGGGCCCTTGGACTGTTATGCTGGCCACACTGACACTACTTTCCGTGCTGACCGTGTTTATTATGTTAATATTGTCTTCTCTTATCGCTGTCCGGATCCATTGTGTTATTATAATGTGCTCTTTCTTTTATTGACAAGCATGTTTCTTTTCTTGTCCACTTTGGACAGCAATAATTTAAGTGTTTCAAGCTTGAAGGTGATGTGACTACGATGCCTCTGGTATTTAACTGATTAATGCAAAAATGGTTTTGAATTATCAAAAGAGGGGAGTGTAATGACAGTTTTTAGAGTAATTACATTAAAACCAGCCGCAGCAAATACACGGACGTCAAAGGCCTTTTATCAATGCAGAGACGACCTTCTGACGCCATGCTGAGCTTTGTGAAGGTCCCTGCTGTCTGTCACACCCTTGTGTCTTTCGTATCTTGCATCTGTATGTCTGCATTTCTACCATTGTCTGTCTGTTCGCACCTCCATGCCCTGTGTCTGATTGCCTCACCACAGGACATGGCGCCTGCGCTCCCTATGCGCCTCCTTCACCGGTGGCCCCCTCCCATCTGTTGTGGGCGTGACTGTCTTTCTATGTAAACAGGAAGCCTGAGCTCTGCGGGCCAGAGCTGGGTATGCTGCCTTTAGGATATGCTAGCTCTCCGCACGTGTGTTACAATAAACTTACGCTCCTGATTTAAGACAAATACTTTTGGGCTTTCTCCTTGCTTTGGGGTATGTAATTCTATAACAGTAGTGAGGCTTATTTCTTGTTTTGTGTTTGATGTGATGTGTATTTTTGTCTTATCCTGGACCATGAGCCTGCAATAAAGTTTGAGGATGAAAGCAGAAAAAAAAACACACTGCCAACCAAATGCTCCCATATTGATGCAGGTAAAACTTGGAAAACGTATAACTTGGAATATAGTTTAAAAGTCCATTTACTTCTGTAATTCAACTTACAATACACAACTGTAATTACGTAATACACACACAATGAGATATATTAATCCTTGTTTGTTATATTATTTGTTATAATGTTGAAGTATGGTTCACAGCCAAAAACAACCATCCTCAGCCTATATCATCGTAATTATAACAAAAAAGGACTTTGCATAACATACTGTATATGTCTTGAGTCATTCAATACATTTTAAGATAAAAAAAAATCTCCACTAAATAAACGTTTGTATAATCAGCACTTTTTACAGGGCACAAACACATGTGGATGAATAAAAAAGTAAATGTGGGAAGATTTAACTGCACAACAACTTGGCTTGGTCCAGTATTTGTTCTTGCTATCACCATATCTGTGAATTTCTCAGTCCTGTGTGAAGGTTACATGAACAGGACTGCCCTGCCCTGCACACCTGCGATGACGCATTCATAGGCTCTGGGTATTTACCAGTAGCAAAACATGTCAAATTTATTCGACTTCCTAACAATTATTAACAGTGATTCTTTGACCTCGTGCAATTACACCAAACACTGCTGGAAGCTTTCCTCGTGTTTATCAAAGTTGTTCAACCTGCTCTTAATCAGGCTAAGATCAATGTTCTCAATTTGCATGTAAACTAAAAAGCCTCTCTCTTGTTAATTTGCACGCACACTTGTTTTGTTTGTAGAGACATGAATGCTTAATAGGGTTGGACTTCACAAGTAAAACTCTGGTCACCCTGAAAACAGAGGTCTGGGTCTGATTGCATGGGAGCCCTGGGGTGGCCGTGAAATGTGGTTGGAATGCGCAATGGACCGAGACTGAAAGCGAACCACATGACTGCAGTGCAAAAGTACTGATCATAAACAAGAGGGGCTAAAACAGGCCAATGCTTAAATAAGAAATGTGGAATGGAACGCTGTGTGCTGAGTGAAATTTGCAGTGGGTCAGAAGCATACCTTATATGGCCTACGGGACAAATTTCGCACTAATTACAGTAAACATATTAGTGCTGGCAGGAACTTTTTGACTCAATACGAAAACACGATCTACGGGAAGACTGTTGCCGCTCACATGGCCTTTCTGAGTTATGTTTGCATGTTCTGCCCATGTCCAAATAGGTTCTCCTTGGTACTCTAATGTGCTGTGATTATTTATGAATAAGCACTTTGAGTTGCTGTGTGTATGTACAAATAAACTCACCTTGCCTTGCCTTCAAAAGCAATGGTGTGGACACTAATCCCTTTTTAAATCTGATGTCCAGTCAGATCATGTGTGAGAATAATTGGAGTAGGGTGACTCCAAACGAATACACACACCCCTCAGCCCATATGGGGAATTGCATTACAATCCAATAACTGAAGGCCTGTTGTAATAAAACTCTGCTATAGTAATAGAAGGCAGCAGAATACCAAACAGTTAGAGTTGAGAGAAGGTCAATGAATGAAAAAGGCGGAGGAGGAGGGGCATAATGGACAGAAAAACAAAGCCACAGCTGAAAACTGCAGTTTTGAAGTCAAATCTGACTGAGTATATTGAGAATTGAAGCCATTTCCATATGGACTTACCTAATGAAATACATCTAACTATTTCCTCACTCTCATGACAGTTTTGCTATATTACTAGTTGCATTAATGTAAGATCAGCAAACTATACTACATGTGTGTGTTTTAAAAAGATAAGGACACGTTTTTGTTCACAGAATCCTTCTTTTACAGGACTTCTTCTGTTGTGACAAACACAATGTATTATTATTTCTGAAAAAGGTTTGATATCTTCATTCAGTTTTAAACAGAAGTTATAATGTATATATTTATAACACAGCTCCTCACAGCAGCAGTAGAACGCCCCATTTTTTGAATGTAATTTCAAAACGTTCTACCGGTCATTATTTCTTGAAAAACTGACCTCTCAAAACAATAATGACCGCTGCCCATGGAAACGCAACCTCTGCTCGTGTAGATTACTCCACAAGTAGTCCGGCCACTTCGTCGCTACTACTGTCTCTGGGAGAGAAGCTATCGTCACTAGCCATGCTCAATAGACGCAAATACCAATCAATCAACACATTTAAATGTTAATCGGAGAATACATTATACATATACATTCTTTATACACATGCACAGAGGTTTTCAGAAGTATCTGTTAACGTTTTCATGACAAAAATACTGTTTTAATGAAACCCGGAAGTATGTTCCAGGACATTTTAGGACTTTAGGAATTTACCTTGAGTTTATGTTTGGGTCACTCAACGCTGATGTTCAGAATTCTTTGTTCAGTTTTCATGCAGTTCAAGAGAGTTTTAGTTTGGAAGTTGCGAGCCTAACTGGTACCCGCCTGCCACTACCCTAACCCTAACCTTTGGGAACTATTTTATTTGCAGTCATTAATTAATCATTCTATCTTGTACAAGTAAAATAGTGTGAACAAATCAGGTTGTTAATTTCAATAAATATAAGTGTCTTTGGCATACTTGTAAGAGAGTATTGTGAGTCGTCTGAGTGCTGATTAACTGAGTGATTAAAGGATCTGAAGATTTGACAGAGGCCAAAAAATACATGCATGTGAAAACTAATGATTGCGCTCGTTACATGAATGTTTTTACATGGTTCCATTGTTGTTTTAAAGTGAAGTACACCAGCTTTAACACAACAAAAATCTTGCTAATAGAAATATGAGACAGTACTGACCAGAATTCCCAGGCTGGTGGAGAAAAAGGGAGAGGTGAAGTCAATTACTTGGCTCCTGGCTGAGTTAATACTGAAGGATGTCACAGCCAAGTGAGCAGCTCCACTCAGAAGATCCCCCACCAATCCTGTCCAGCGGCCATTTTTGAAGCCTCCGTATTTCCCATCGCCAACAATATAGAGGTCAAACGTGAACCCCATGTCTTCTGCCAGCTTTTCCAACAAATCTACACAATATCCATAGCAGCATTTCTTCAACTCGGTCGGTACAGATCCGTTACGTCCAGAGAGGTTTAGGAAAAGGCCTTCTAGAACCGAGGATTCGTTGGTGAGTGGGTCAAGGCACAGCTGACCCGCGGGACAGTGACCATCCGCGTCCACCTCCCGAGTGAAAACAAACGGATGCTCCACCAGAGTGACCACGCGCATGTGCAGTCGCGTGGACCGCCTCCAGTCACCCCCTCCGCCCGAGCCATGGTGCCCAGGCCAAGCCCCCTGGTCCTTGAGAACCCGGCCCCTCCGCCAGCGTCCAAGCCGGGTCCACGTGGGCTGTCCCAGAGGGTCCAGCTGCAGGGACCAGATGTAGTGATGTGCCTCCGAGTGGATGTTTTGAGTCCCGGGCTCTTTGGAAACGAGACCGCTCTGGCCTTCGAATGTGGCGTTGGAGATGAATCTGAAAAGACAGACAGGAATATGTATAGATTTAGTCATAAAAGGATTTTGGATATGAAGGACAGGACAGTATTCAAGCTTTGTAATACTAAGACAACAACGATTTAATAACAGACAGAAAACGTACTTAAACAGTTGGCCTCAAGAATCATATTTTCTGACAATTTCACATCCAGTTGTTCAGCTCCAATAAAAAACCTATATGATACATTTTATCGTTGTTCTTGAAAAATTCCACATTCAGAGCAAAAACCCCTTTCCCATCTTCTTTTATGAGCTACAACAATGCAAAGAAATAATTTATCACTGTCGTCACCCCAAAACATATCAAGTAGATAATGACAGATACAAAAAAAAAAAACAGAACAGTAACAGAACATCAGAGTCCTGATTTGTCACTTGGAAATGTGTAGTTGAGGAGACAGTGGCTCAGTTGGTAGAGCATTGGCCTTTGACCCGGAAGGGGGTGGGTTCGAGCCCATCATGGGACCTACTCCAACTGCTCCCACTGGTGTCTGCTGTCGTTGTGTCCTTGAGCAAGACACTTAACCCCACATTGCCTGAAGCTCCCACTGAAACACTAAGGCTGTGGCACCACTGATGTAGCAGCCATCTACCTGTGGACTCACCACCTGCAGAGAATCAGCGAGGGACCTGTGCTTTGAGCATTGGGTGGCAGCTCTCCTTGCCACCCCCCCGACCCAGAAATGGACTAATAAAGGGGTTGAAAATGAATGAATGAAAATATGTAGCTAAAATAACTAAATATTTCTAAGAAATCAGTATAATAAAGCATCTAATTTTGAAGTTATGAAATTCAGGCTTGAATCTCTCATTTATCTGATAAATGAAGGATTGGTCCCAAATGCTTTTGGAAAACTATTAAACCCGAAAGTAATTTAATGCAGTCATGAAAACAACGCTGTGTTTTGCAAGTTACGATCACAATCTTTACAATCACATTTCCATCTAAATCAACACCCAGCAGACAAAAAGGAATATACGTAAAACCTCTCTGACACACACCATACACACCTGCTTTTTTCCAATAAACACTAGGTCTCTGAGCTCAGCCCAAGGCCACAGTGGCAGCTGTGGACCGGCCTGAACAGCAACACGGACAGATACGCGACCTGTTCCATGGTAACATTTGAACAGCGCTTTTCAACCACCTACCCCCACATTCAAACACACATTTATAAACCAGTGACCGGAGACATTGAGGCAGCTGCAAGTGTTTCGGCCAAGTAAACAACAGGAGCTTTCACCTACGGATGTTAGTTTCACTCCAGCCAATCTGCAGTGGATCAGTGAATCTTACCACTCAACCAATGTTTTTTGTAATGGAGCAGGAATCAAACCATCAACATTTAGATTAGCCGGTTGGAATCATTTTCAGAAGAAGACTTTTATCGGGAACTGGATTACACCCACCACCAACTGAGCTACTGTTGTCAAAGTTTAGCACCATGGACAGAGACACATCAAAGTGGTGGCCGTCTTAAAAAGCACAGTAAGAGAGAGGCTTGTGAGAGAATTTACAGTGAGGGAGGTAGGGGTACGGCAAAGTGCTTAACAAAAGCATTAACTGAAAAGATTTGTATGACAGAGTGCAGCCCCATGGGAAACACAACTGCTCTTCCAGCTGCATTTAGAAGTACAAACTATATACAGTCAACATCCAACATACAAATAAAAAATAAAACCAATTATGGATTTAATGAGAGAGATTTTTTGCTCACTGATCAGATGTGGTAAACGTCTGATCTGAATTGATTTGACAATTTTAGAGCCAGGTGTACAAGGAAGCCATGGGAATGGAGTGTGGCCTGTTCGTGTAACAGATAATCTATTATAGAAACATTTCGAAGGAAAGGCAGCAAATTATATGCAGACAGGTGAAATGAGACAATTTGATTGAACTGTTTGTCCAGAGGTATTATGTGTATTGATTAATTGCATACCGCATGGACATGGTTGTGTTAGGACGGGGGCAATAATAGTGTCGCTGTTTTTATGTCTCACCCTTAGGACATATCTTGATCAGTTAGCAATATCTGATTATGTTTCATAAATAAAGTTGTGACGCTCTACTGTGGTGATATGAATAGCTGACAATAATCTCCCTTTTTTTTCCATCCATCTTTCCATTTTCTTCCCCTTAATCAATTTCTGGGTCCGGTGGCAGGTGGTGAGTCCACAGGAGGATAGTACAGCCTTGATCTTTCGGCAGGGGCTTCAGGCAAATTGGGGTTAAGTGTCTTGCCCAAGAACACGATGACAGCAGATGTCAGTGGGAGTCGGTGGGTTGAACCCACAACCTTCAAAGTCAAGGCCAATGCTCTACCAACTGAGCCACTGTCACCCTAATATTCTTTTGTGGTCATAAAACAAAAAAGTGATATATACCATTATCAGGGACATGTATTATTCTATTCATTATATGACATGGAGGAGGGAGATTTATTGGTCAAAGCATGAAATAAACAAGCTTACACCATACATTTTTTTAAAATTGTTTTAAAGTATCATTGATATTAATGCTTCCTGTCTCCAGCTCTTTATGAGAACAGATCGCAGTGTGTACATTGGACACAGTTTGCGCGGCGTCCTGCTCTGGTGCGTGCCTTTATTATGTGAGTGACCTCAGCAGCTGTCCAGAACGCACCGGTGTGTGTGACAGGAGCCGACAGACCACGGGCCACTGACTCCTCATCCCTCAACTGAGCCTCGCTGCTGCCACCTGAAGGCAGAAGAACCCACTGCATCACAATTCCCATTCATGGATACTAAATACAGAGGTTCCCAAAGTGTGGATCCCAAGACTTATACTGGGGGTTACTAAATGACGCAATTATTTAAATATTTTAGTTAGTAAATTATTTGATAAACAGACATTACATTTTAAGATCAATTACACTCTATGGTCAATTATGTTATGTGGGGGGGTTTGAAAGTCAGGTTTTTGCTTATTTTGGCGGTCCCGTTTTTTAATAGTTTGGAAAGCTAATTGTTAATTATTCTACCATTACAATTCAATACTGCACATGTGGTTTTCATTCTAGTAGTATGACAAAAAATGCACTCTGTTAGATCAGTGTTTCTCAACCATGGGTGTGCGGAGTACTAGGGGTGCGCAGGGGTATTAAACTAGCAATATTTGGTTTTAACTTGCAAACATGACAAGTAAGACACTGGAGCGGGCTACTGAGGGTATTTTAAAGCTAATTCTCTCAAGAAAACAACCACACCCGTTATTTTATTTTACCACTAAACCTAGAACACAATTCGTTATAATAATTGGCCTGATCAGTGTGCAATAACAAGCCTTTCTCACTTTTGGTCCAGTTTTGGTTCAATCCCAGTATGAACTTTCATTCCAAAAAATCTCAACTTAAATAAGCATAACTACATCCTGCAAACAAATACAATCATTGATACAATAATCAAAAGACACAAAACAAGAGTTCCTGAAGAAAAAAAAAAACATACCTTGATAAAACAGTAAACCCCTAGTATTTGGGGTCACTGTATTCAATGGTACTGATACAGTTTTAGCATTTTGTGCTTGTATTTGTTATGCATGTATGGGCAGTATGTGTATAGGTGTGTAGACTAATGCTGTATGTGCAGTAGGAGGAACAATGTCATGTAAATAACGTACATGAATGAAGATAACAATACATGCTCGAGTGAATGAATAATCCCATTTGTCATATTTAACAACTCGTCATTGGGGAAAAAGCAAGAGAAATGTTACAGGCTGAGAACCATCCAATGAAAAGTTACATCACCCTATCGCATTAGCAAACAACCACATAATTAACTATTAACTAGCTGGGCAGAATGGTAAAACCGCTTACAGCTTTTACGGTTATAAAACATGCAGTTTATATATTACATTATTTATGTACGTAACCGCATAAACTCCCCACATGAGTTTAGTGGAGTGCCTGGTCATGGAAAAAGACGGAGAAAAAAGGTTACGCAGGAAATTCATGAGGAGCTGTGGAACTGGTCTCCTCTCGGTGCACAAACGCCGTTTTTCCACAGTCCTAATACGGTACGTTTTGACTCTACACGGCCCGCCATGGCCCAGTTCGCATGCTTTTCCATAAAAAATAGTACCCCCAGTATGTCCTCAGCGTTGTCAGACCACGTCATTTACGTGTGACGCGTAACTAGTACTGGTGCGGTGCATGGATTTATTATAATACCAGAGCAAGTGTTTAATAGAAAATTCAACACAGCACAAGTAGTTTTTGAAAATGCTTATGTCTTAAAATAATGACTCAGACACTGTGAAGTCAATGGTGCTGACTGCTCTGTACAATTTGAAGGGGACCTGTAGCAACAGCAGCCTGTGTAGCCAGTGTTGCCAACTTAGCGACTTTGTCGCTAGATTTAGCGACTTTTCAGACCCTATAGCGACTTTTTTTCAAAAAAGCGACTAGCGACAGATCTAGACAAAGCATTAAAATCATTAAATGTTGTTAATGTTGAAATTATTTTTGTACATTTGTAGTTCTAAACATATTTAGGGTGTTTTTTACTCACTTTTGTCTCTCCCACGACGTTATTCCTCTCTCCTACAGCGTCCGTTACAGTTATTTGCAAATTGCCAATTATGCAAATTAGGCGATGACGTCATTTAGCGACTTCTAGCGACTTTTGGGACAGCCAATAGCTACTTTCCTTACTGAGGAGTTGGCAACACTGTGTGTAGCAGAGGAGGAGGGCTGCATGTCCGAGGATACTGCTAGGCTATAGCTAATGCTAGCGCTAGCTCGAGACTCTGCTCACTCACTAACCCTGGATTCCAAAGCTACTACTGTACTACACTTAACACATCTATCACTGCCATCAGATGAGGATCCAGGGTTTAAACTCTTCATATGGCAACTCGAGCAGTAAAGGACCGAGGGAGAGACAGCGGCAGCCATAGGGGTAGCGAGTTAGCGGCTAGGCTAGGCTAAGCTAGGCTAGTCCGGACTCGGGTCT